TATTTCATGAAGAAAAAAAACAATTTCAAAAAAGAAAAAATAAAATCCGCCAATAAAAATTTGTAGTCAAAATTCGAGACTCATCAATAATTCTTCACGAACAGAATTCGAACAACTGTCTGGTGTGGAAGGTGTTGCAGCTACAGAGATGGTGATGGTCTGAATGAAATTGTGTTGCAATTAAGTACTAAAGTAGATTTAATGATAGGTATGAGTACATGTGGCGCAAGACAGTTAAAAGTCTGTCTGTTTGTTTGCTTGTTCGTTTGGCAGCTGTGTACGGTAATTTGCATATCCGTTCCGAGTTACTCATTTCGTTGTAGATTTTGATTTCATTGAACTTCTGTGCTAAATTTCTGGAATTCTTAAGTAATCCACAATCCATTAATTTCTCACTTCTATATTCAAACTCCAATTTCTGTTGCATGCTGAATGTGTTAGTTACTTAAGTACAATACTTGACTAGTACGAGCTGTTTTCGTACGTAGCAATTTGCACGAAAAATGAAAACGTGACGAATTGTTAATAAGTGAAGGAAACACTTAAAGATAGATTTAATGCTGGCAATCTATTGTGTTTAGTACTTGTGCTTATATGCACAATGGCAACACTAGATTATGTTTTAAGAAATATCGAACATACTATGTATTGAAAATCTACTCGTATTTTATTAACTACTCAAAGATAGCTTCAGTCTAGATTTTTTCAAATAAATGAAATGCATAATGTCAAACCAATGACAATGTAGAAAGATATGCTTTATTTAAGACTCAAATAAGATTTACAGATTGTTTTAGTTGAAAATTTTTCTACTGAAAGCGGTGGTACTATGATAAGGAACAGATTTTAAATGTCCCTATGATACTATGATACCACCACGAAGATATATTTTATTAAACACTCAAAGATTCTTTTAGTTGAACGTTTTCCTACTGAAATAGGTACCACTGTATCAATGTAGAGTTTGTTCATTGAGAGATCGTCCCTATTATACTTATATTTACGAAGATATGTTTTGTTAAGGACTCAAAGATTCTTTCAGTTACAAATTTTTGTACTGAAAGCGGTAGTACTATGTTATGATAAGGAACAGATTTTAAATGTCTCTGTGATATATATACCTGAGATTTAATTAAAATTTGATTAAATCAACCAAATTATTTTTCTGAGTGCACTCAGAAAATGGACAGCACTGTGACAATGAGGATGCTTATATTTACAAAGATATCTTTTATTACATGTTTGAAAACAGTTTTATAGAAACAAATACTAAATACAGTTCCAGTACAAAACGGGAACTGTTTTTTGGGATGCAAAGTATGTAGTACTTATGACTGACTAACTCGTAAAAAACAAAATAAACAAAAACAGAGCAATATTATGTGACATTTGTGAACCACTTACATCGTGAAAATAAAAAACAAATTTGATTTGGAAAAAAAATTATTTTACCACAACAAAGCACCATTCATTAAAACTTATTATGCGATCCTGCCACTTTTCTCGTATTCACCACGTTTAACTCCATCTGATTTATACTTTGAACTATTTCTATATACGAAAAAAGTTTTTGCTGTCAAAGAAAATCAATCGAATTCAGAGGTAATTCCGCGGCTGATGAATTTTTTGGTAACCTGAAGGAATCTAAAAATGCGTATGTACTTTTGTGCATGGTGAGTAAACAATTTTATAGGTCCTAAAACAGTTGAATTTATTCCCGAGTATCAGTTTAAAATCAAGAAGTATTACAATTTTAAATTCGATAAGGTACAAATAACTATAATTGCATATATTATATAACTATAATTATATTTTCATATCATATCTTTCATTTAGGAAGTGATAATAAATATATAATGTATATATATTTATATCAGTGCTGGTGCCAATGAATCAGCGACACAAGAGGGCGTACACTTTCTAAGTAGAGTAGTGCACATAGCAGAAGACTCATAAGTCTTAGCATATATTATATATATATTTTATATATATATAATTTTATATATATATATATTTTCCATAACATATTTTTCATTTAGGAAGTGATAATAAATATATGACGTATATAAATTTATTTCATGTTCAATATTCAATATAATTTTTACGAATGTCCAAAATAAAGCAACAGCACAGTCACCTATTCTGCGAACATAGCCGTAGCTTCCATATGTTGTATTCCATACTATAAAATAAAATTGTATTCAGAATAAAATAAAATTGTATTTAGAATAAAATAAAATTGTAGAATGTATTTGATGATAAAAACATATTCCAAGACTATTAAGAAGAATAAAATAGTTAGTATTTATTTTTTATTAGGCTACTTTGGTCATTTGCTTTGGATACATATATATATTAATTCAGTGATTTATATTTTATTGATTTTTGCCCTATTGTTTTAAAGGTAATTATAACCAATATTACTATATAATCAGTAGCTTATTTTTATTAAAAAGTACAATGGGTACAAAGGGTATGGTAACTTTTAATATGACAGGTACGAGTTCTAATCCTGGTACTTACAGTCCACACAAATTATATATGGACAGAAAACTAATTGAGAAGAAATTCGAATATTTCTTAAGACCACTGGTGATGACTACTTGGCAATACTTGAAACGGCGTTATAATATTTGTTCTTGTTTTTTCTTTGCTATTCAAATCCATCTAATTTTCAACATTTTTTATTAAAAAAATTAAATCAGATATTTTAAATGTTCTCAATATTAAAAAGATGTATTTTTTTATTACAGGACCTTTAATGCAAATATTTATATTGTAAATTAGTTTTAATTTCAAGTTTAATATTTAATTAGAAGTGGTTGATTCATTGGTGGACACACCATTTAATGAACTTAATTTTGTACATATAAGCAAAATGTTGTCCTATGTGCACATGACAACATTGGTGTTATTGCAAAATAATTATTTTTCTTCTATACAGTTTTGAAATTTGTAACAATATAAAACTATATTCAACTATATTCAGTTCCTTACTACAATGCATTTATTTGACAGTAAATAAAGAAAGGAATTTCTACCAACTCTGTTACTTTTGTTAAAAAATTTTAATATACGAGTATTTTCGATACAATGAGAGTATAAAACTTTTAGTGATTACAGATTTGCAAAAAATTGTAATAAGCGAGCTCAATAAAAGTGAGAGTTAAAGAAAGAAATTAATCCACATCAGTTGTTTAGACCTGAGACACAGAACTTACATAGAATCTAATTCTTTCTATACTTAAGAAGTAAGTCTAATATGAAATTTTTAGTGATAAGTAAAATTGATTAAAACAAACCATAACAAAACAATAGGTAATATATCCCATATACCATATATGAACCATAAAATACTGCTAAATGAAAAGTGGTTAAAAAAATTACAGTACATACCAAATGTGAACCAAAAAATAGTAGTCTAAAGAGGTTTTAAAAACCGTAATTTGAAACATTGTTTTTTTTTGCATTATAAATAGCACATACAATTCATTGCATTTTATTACACAATGGGAATTATAGTTCTTGGGTTTTTAACAGCTTCCCATAAAATCACGATTACCACTAAACGAGAAATAATTACTCACAACTTCTCGAAACACTAATTAACTTTAATACTATAATATTATGATAAACGTTATACAAAAAAAACAGAAGAGTAATGAAATTAATGATTACATAGCAAAAACAGTTGCAAACACACCTTTTATTAATGTTGAGCACTTCCATTTTTTAAACATTAGCTTAATAGTATAGCTCAATATTTTGCGTTATTTGTAGAATTATGGCATAGAACGAAATATACTTATATTTCTCGATTCTGTGAAATGATCATAAAAGATATAGAACACATTCTCTCTGAACGCAGTACTCTTGGTTTTACCCTTACTCACGTAAGGTGTTTGTGTACTCTAGAACAACATATACTCTGGAACAACAAGTCTGAAGCTATCTTGAATGTTAGACATAAATATATACGGTTAACTTTGAGATATGTTTTATTGACAGTGTATCTTGATTGTCAGTGATGATATTAAAAACAATCAGTAAATAATTTTTTTTTTGGTTAATTTGCACTAGATTTCTAATTAAACTACTATAAGTCAATCTATTTCAGACTACAGGCTACTTTTTAATTTAGCATAATATATCATTTTATTCTCATATTGACTCTTGTTAATTGTCAGTCCTTAAAATTATTTACTTTATTTATTATAAATTCTCTATTATATTGAAAATGTATATACAAATTTTTTCTTCAATAATTTTTCATAAAAACTGGAACTTTGATTTAACAAATAGTTGGTCTGCGATAGCATTGTTAGTGGTATCATTACTGGATTTGTTCTAACCGTATAAACGATTTTTGTTAGGATCGTTTTTACAATTGTTTTATAATTTTAATTTTTTTCTTCATTTTTAATTTTTATTAATTTTTTTTTTTTACTTTGTTATATTTTTTAAATTTTTTTTAATTTACTGTTCTTTTTTAAGTTTACCATATTATTATTTTATCAAAGTTAATTTTTATTTAATTTTTTTTGTTATTATATTTTTGTTTTAATTTATTACTTTTTTTCAAATTCATTATTTTTTTTGGAATTTATTTTTATTTTATTATTTTTATTATTATTTTTCTTACTTCATTATTTTTGTTTTTAAATGTATTATTTTTTTTAAATTCATTTTTTTGTAACGTATTATATTTTATCTTCTAATATATTATTTTTATATTAATTTTTGTTTTATTATTTTTTCTGGAAATTTATTTGTTGTACACCATAAAAAAGTTCTTCAAATTCACCACCGTTCTGTTAAATAATGGTTCTGTTAAATCAATAATGTTATTGTAGTCCTTTTGTGTAATATTTGTAGCGTAAATATATTATTTTTTATTCCTTTAATTCAAATAAAAATTTTATATAAATTTTTTTAATTTATTTAATTTAAATCTTATTCCACAAAAAAAAATCAATACAAAGAAAATTATTGACACTTACCTCAACTTGTTTTTCACGAAGGATTTCGTATCCTTAGAATTAAATTTCACTTAAAATATATGTAAAAATAATAAACTTTAATTTAATAATTTTTTTTTAATTTAAGTAATTAAATTTTATCATAAAATTTTTAAATTTTAATTTTGTCTTAACGTTTTGCATAACTTAAAGGATATTCACCTTATACAACGGCACGTTTTCAAAAGGCAATTAACTTTATTAAATTCTTTTGTAAATATAAAAAAAAATTTTTTTTCTCTTTTTTTTTGCACAAAGATTTGTCCTTCTTGACGGATTAAAAAATTATTTGTATAAATTCAAGAAAAAACTGCACGATTTATACGCAATTTGCCGAAGAAGCGATTTTATTTTTCTCAAACCAAACACAGCGATACACTTTTACCAACTGAACGTGCAAACGATCTTACCACAGTTTATAGCTGTCCCAAAAAATAAAAAAAAAGTAAACAAAAAAAAAAAAACAAAACAGTTTGTGCTGTGACTGACTAAAATGAAGCTTCGCTCAAACAGTTAAAATCGTCTTGGACGAGCCGTAAGCATGGCGCGCATCACTTACTTTATGCTAAATACGAGTCTTCCTACCCGCCACCGTTAATGCAGCATATATAATTGTGTGTCGTACTGTGTATCATTGCTCATTGCAATGATGTACTCCGCCACCAGTAGTAATAGCAACAAAGGCGGCAATAGCAACAACAGCGGCAGCAGCAACAGCAGCGTCAGTAACGGCAGCTATCGAGGCAGCAGCACACCTGTAATTATTCGTAAACAAAGTTACCAAATGCGAATAAAATTCAATAATAATAACAATACTCATACATACTCATACCTACAGCCATGGTGCATAATTGTCTTTCTGTCATCGGTCTGACGGTTTGACGGTTTGACGGTTTGATGGTCCGTCTAACTGTTTGTTGGATGGTTGTTTCTCTATATAAATTTATCTGTCTGTCTCTTCGCTATAATTTCTTTAAATTTGTTTGCACATTTGTGGTGTGCGTTGTGATGGCACATCAGTGCACAAAAAGGTCCAACAAACCAACTTAGGTATCATCATTTAATAGTTGTTATAGCTGTTGTTGTTGTTGTTGTTTGTTTGTTTGTTTATTTGTTGTTATTGGTATGATTATTATTATTGTCATTGTTTTTGTTGCTTTGTTGCTTTGTTGTTGTTTTAAAATTGCGTTCAATTGCAATGTATCATTGAATTCCTGACTTGTCGTACGCGCACATGTTGCTTATACGCTGTGTTGTTGATTTTTTTTTGTGCTTGTTACTTACTGCGTGTAACCGGCTTCATCAACAGTAAAATTATTAAAGTAGGTTACAAAGTATTTTGTAGATTTTTTATTTGCATTTGTTTTTGCTCACAATTTTTTTCTTTTTTCTTTTTTTTTAGGTCTCATTTTGTTTAAATATTTATTTATTTATTATTTTCCAATAAGTATTTCATTTTTTTATTTAATTCATTTATGTTGGAGTTGGGAACGCATCGTTGAAAAAATATCATTTATTCGTAGTGTATGAGTTCGAAGTATGAAGAGTTTTATGCCAAACTTTTGTTTTTATTGCTGTATTGAATCTATACAAAATAATTATTTTTATTAAATTTATTTAAAGTCAAGTATAACAAAAAAGCGAAAAAAAAAAACGATTTCAAATAACAAATGTGTAAAAAGTGATAAATTACAACAATAAAATATATAGACATTTTTTTATATATTAAATTTTTGCAACTACTATTGCAACAATAAAAATTTTATACTGTATTTAATTTTTTATTTATTAAATTTTTGCAACAACAAATATTTTATTTTTTATTTATTACATTTTTTACACCAAAAATTTAATTTTATTTCTTATATTTTTATTTATTGAACTTTTACAACAACAAATATTTTATTTTATTTTTGTATTTATTGAGTTTTTACAACAAAAATTTTATATTATTGTTTAATTTTTTATGGATTGAATTCTTACAGATATTCTTTTTTTTTTGGCTTCATTTTTTTATGTATTCAATTTTTCAACAACAAAAATTTTATTTATTTTTTATATTATTATTATTAAATTTTGGCAACACCATAAATTTTATTTTTACATAATTTTTTTTGGTTTTTCATTTTAATGTTGAATTTTAATAACCACAAAAATTTTATCTGTTTTAAATATTTACAAGAACAAAAATTTTATTTAATTTTTGGTTTTTTTTTTAACCAATTTTTAAAAGTACAAAAGTTTTATATTATTTTTATGTTTTCTGTTTTAAAAAATAATAAAAAATTTTATTTTACTTTTTTATTTGCTGAAATCTTCTTCATTTATTTTTAAGAGGTGGGTTGATGGGTTGTGGTTGTTGATGCTTCGTATTTACCGTAAAAAAATAAAAATATATTTGCTATATTAAATAAGTAGAAATCTTAGTTATGTGAGCTATGTTATTTCTCACTGAAGTGCTTTAACTTCGTTAAGTAATGCTTTGATTTAAAAAGCAGAACAAATAGTATGGGTAGTGCGGTTCCGTTTTAAATATGTACCCAGACACAAGGCAACAAAATAAACTCTAGTCAATAAAACCATACAATTAAATAAATATCTTAATGGGCACAGTCCAGCTCAAAAACGTGGTCATGCTGATAAGTTTCAGGCCAGTAAACACCCATGTCGAACAATTGGTTATTGGTTAGTAGAAACAAAGTAGAGTAAATATATTTACTCACATGTAAAGAATTGATAATATTCTGACCATCCTCTATGGAAATCTACCAAGTAATGAACTAGACAAACATAGTTCCTTCAAAAGAAATGTACTTTATTATCAGATGTGTTAGCGAAATGGCGTCTATGCGTTATTTGACCAATTTATAAAGCTTTGCTGCAATTAAAAGCAACTAAATTTTTTTTGAATTTAATACCTAACACTGTTTTATATATAATATATATAGGACATATACTTGTGTTTAGAAATTATGCAGATTCAATTTGTTTATGCAGATTGATTTGTTTTTAAAGATTTTCCACAACTTCCGTAATTTGGGTGAACCTGAATTTTTTCAAAGTTCGTATATTTTTTTTTTTTATTATTTTTTATACATCAATAGCCTCATATTGTCTTACAAAAATATTTTGTGATAGCATTTTTCTTTTATCATGCACCGTTTTCTGCAATCGAGCCTTGAAGTAAGCAAGTTTTTACTTATTTTCAAAAAAACAGTCAAATTTTTATTTTGTTACTCATACGCTCCGGGGACTTCATTCTGTGATCTTGAAAAATAAAGGGTTTCGAATTAAAATTTTATTATTTTTTCATTTTTATATTTATTCTTGCGATTTGCGCTGGCTTAATTAATAAAAATATTAGTTCAGCACTGGTTTCTATTTAGTAAAAATATCGGTTTTTTTTTCAATTATAGATTAACGAATTCGAAGTGCAAGAAAAATGTAGAAGGTTGCTTGTTTCAACGAATGCTTATAGGTTTATTCGTACGGTGAATGATGAAAAGAAAATTTCTTCGCAGAAAATATTTACATATCAATAAGGTATTGATGTAGGAAAACGTTAATAAAAAATTTGTGTTAAAATTTTAAAAAATCAAATATGAATCCTCATAAATTCTTAATTAATAAATTCGTATTAATTCGTATTAAATATTAAACTAAATGGACATAAAAACACGTACATACGATTTAAGATTAAATTATTTTTAAAATATTAGGATTTTTTGCAGTTATATAATATGTAGTTATTTATTTAAGTAGACTTTGCTTTTACAATCTACATCTCAGTATATAAAAATTGAAAATTATCATCACTCACATATATGTATATATAAACGAATTTTTTTATTTATTGGACTAGGAGCTCATCTTCTGCAGTTAAAGTATTTACATATGTTCTATATTTAATACATATTATTATTATTACTATTAATACTATTATCGTGAAATCACCCAATAGCCGGTACTACCGCCTACTAGAAAAGATGTAGTGACAGAAATGTAGCGAAAACTTTTAAAAACTTTTCTATTGTCTTCCACCATATAATAAAAAATTAATAAAAATAATAGAATATTACTAAGTAGAAGACATCTCATATATCGCCATTGTTTTTATATCAAGGTTACTACAGTTTGTTGACCTGATGGTTCAATGAGGAATTATGGTCAATTGGGATTATGTGGAATCGCAAAGCTCCAAGTTGGTTTAAGTCTGGTGACTTTTATACTTATAAAAAATTAAATAATAATTATTTTGTTTTTAAACGGACTAACTGGTCAATAGTTAAACAATATCCTTTAAAAAGAAATATTTTTTTGTTTTTTAAAAAATTTTATTTTAACCAATATTTCGGCTAAGGGCCCGTTCAAAAACAATATTATTATTAAAAATTTCTGGATCATTAAAACAATAAATTATTATAAAAAATTAAAAAAAATCAAATTTCATTTCATCAAGTTTAAAACTAAGGTGCAAAGATTTCATTATATATCACATATCTTCCACTGCCTTTTAAACAAATCTAGAAGCTTTTTATATGGTTTTTACATAACTCGAAAACATAAAAATCTTGTCTATTATGTTATGTCTATGACATCAAGTTTGTTGTATTACTTTAATGCTTCTTCTTGTATTTTTTGTATTTGTGCTATTTTATAGCACTTTTATAAACATACCCGCTGGAGTGCCTATATGAATGAAATAATCACAGTAGATAAATTGAATAGTTTAATATATATAAGATGATTTATGTAAATATTTCCTAGAATCCCGACGGTTTCATAAAGCCTAATAAGTTTGAAATATAAAATTAAATTTTAATTTAAAATTAATATTATTGAAAATATGCATCCATCATCAATTCATGCTCACTACTAGAAAAAAAAATCCTATAAATAATTTCCTATAAATAAATGTATGAGATATCTGGTTATGCAGGAATTAATGGCAAATGATTTGCAATCATTCTGGTAATCAACTTGCTCCACAACAAAGCATTTAAAAAAAAACTGATTGGTAACTGAAAGATGTCGCTATGGATTAAGGAGCCAAAGTCCTTACAACAACGCTAAACCGTCCTTCCTCAGACGGGGTTTACAAGAATAAAGTGATTTTAATACACTTAGGTATATAATGTAGTGCCAATACATAATAAAATTGTATTTTACATCATGTATGTACATTAAATTTTTATTTAAAGAATAAATTTAAATAAATAGAAAAAAAAATTACTAATAATTATAGCCGCTATTTGTGTGAAGTATGTTGAAGCTCTAGCAAAGAGAGTCTACATGTTTTACAAATTTGAAATTTGATATTTGATAGTGATATTTTCACTATACCTATACGTTTGAAAAGTTATATGTCATTATACCAAAGAGTATTATAC